ATGTCACCTGGAAATTTAAACTTGGGCAACCTGTAGATCCAGGATTTAAGGTGGGGGTCGAGGGGTATGCTTTTGAGCACCTGGTGGTCAGGCCTTGGCTTCTGATACTTTGCCGTGCCAAGTCAGCGTAACAGGACTCAACCTCCATGTGTGGCCACCACCTGCGAGGATAACCGGATAACCATTGAATTTGGTGTCCCTGGCCATGCCAAATACTGGTGGCATAGATTGGGATATGAAATGTCACATGCAGTGGTGGGCAGCACTAATCTAAAAATTTGTTCCACTAGACCTAAAACACTAACTCAAATATTTAGGTCCCCTAATTCTAAAGCACTAATGCACTGAAAGTTTTAGCAAAAGCTAATTCTAAAGCACTAAAAAATAACCCATTCAACCCATGATTAATATTCAACAGACAACATGAGTCACATATTGCCATGTTGCTTATCATTGATATTCCACAGCCATATTTGGGTTCATATGTTGTCAATATATTGCCACCTAGTGGATAAGTGACACACAAACTGTGTGACAACTTTAAAGGGGCAATATTATGTGTTTCTCAGGCATACATTTAAATATTATACCATAATAAAGTATCTATGTCACCTTCAGTTGTTATTAAAATGCTGTTTTTTATGTTTAAATAGAAAATAAACTTAACTTCTCATCACTTCCTCTTCTAATCGTCTTAAAATTGGCCTCTGTCTCTTTAAGAACCACCTTCTGCTTCTGTCCCATCCCGTTCAGTGCTGGGGGTGGGGGTGGGGGGGCATTCGCGTGTGCGCTATGATGCAGTTTACTTGGCATCTGAAAATCAGTGGTGGGCACCATTCTGCTAAAGCGCAAAGCCGCTAATTGCGGACCTAAAAATTTCATTTGCGCTTTAGCGGTCTTACTGATATTTATAATTCATAAGTGGATTTGTGCTTTCTAAAATTAAAATGCAGTACCACTAATAACGAACTGTCTACCTCTCATCATTATCTTGAACATCAGAAAGTATGGATTATCATCATTTAAAGCAAGAGCGGAACGTCATCTGATATTACAGTAAAGAAATTCCCCAAAGAGTTTATGATTTTCTTGAACAGCAGAGAGGGCTTGCTGTTAGTGACCAACACCAAGACAAAACACAGTATTGCAACAGCGCCCTCTCACACGTATGATTAAAATAACAGAGTTTTATCCTGTGACTATCTG